GCTATCACGAAACCACACTGAACAAAACAACTTCTCCCAGGACCCGCTGCAGAGCTTGGCTCTTCTCCCGGGCCAAGAATTCCAGGGAAGGGGGTGGGGGGGGGTGGAAGTAGGATGGGGGTAGGAGGGGGGAAGGGGGCTATGGCAGAGATTGGCTCGGCAGCTCAGGGTTCTGGGGGGAAAGGTTCAGGTCATGAGAAGTTGGACAGATCAGAGCCGGCCTCCCAGAAGCGAGAAGACGGCCTGCCAAGAAGCCTCCCAGTTGGAAGGAACTTGAGAATGTGATGTAACTGGGAGAGGAAAAAAGTCCTGTGACGAAGCTCTGTTTGTCAGGGGCTGGGTTTCTGGGGGAAGAGGGAGAGGGGTGAGTGCCCCCGGGATATTTCCTTCACCATTTACAGGGGCTCTGGAGTCGCAGAATGAATGGACAGATAAAATCACCAGTTTAAAGAAGGAGGGGGTTGGCTGGAGCAATAGTACACAGGTAGAGCGTTTGTCTTGCCCGCAACCAACCTGGGTTGGATCCCTGAATACCGAGTCAGGAGCCAGCCTTGAGCACCGCAGGGTGTGGCCCCCAAACCAAACCAAACCATCAGTGGGGCGGGAAGGAGAGTTTGGCGGAGAGCCAGCCAGATTTTCGGAAAGGGCAGGCTCCCATGTCTGTTTGTTATTTCACCTGATCTCACCTACAGTGGCCTCCCTGCTACTTCCGAACAGAGGAGACATTGATGCCCAGAGATGTTTACGGTTTACTGACAGCCGCAGCAGCGTGTCCAGCAGAGGACCTGGGTCTTGAACCTGAAACCCAAGCCCCAGGTCCTTGGCAGCAACTCCACAGGGAGGGCCCTGGACCACAGCCCCACCCTTTCAGAGAAGGGTGCCTCTCAGGGGAGCCCAGAGAATGGGCCCAGACAAGCCTACCAGCTCCGCGGTGCCTACCAGTGTACTACACAACGCCTCCACCAGGAAGTCAGCTGTCAACACTCCCCTCATCCCCCCCATTGCCGCCTCATCTCCCATCCCATTCTCAGGGTGCAGATCCCTATGGCTACCCCCGCCTCCCCCCCAGGACTGGGGCTCTTGAAAGGGGTCCCTGGGCTTTGAAGTGTGGGTGAGAGGAGTGGAGAATGTCAGGAAACAAACCCTTTGCTTTGTGCCCTGTGCAGTCTATCCTGACTGCACAGGGTGGGGGGTGGGGGAATGGGGGGAAATGGGGGCGCCGGAACAGATGCCTCTTTGAGGCTGCCGCAGAAGGCCTTGGGGGAAAGCAAACAGAGAGAACCCAGAAAAGAGCTGCAGCAGCGCGGCGGGGAGAAGGGCTTATTCATATTGGAAGCGGTATTGAATGCTGCTGGCACGATGGTACGAAGCGCTGGAAGGAAGAGAGACGCTGCTATGAAAATAAATCGAGGCAAAGTAAGGCGGCGGAGGAGGCGGAAAGAAAGGCTTCAGCGGTCGCGGGGCTGGGGGGGGTGTGTGTGTGCAGGCTCAGTGACCACACCCGGCCGATCGGTGTGATGGGCTTCTCCTGGGGCTGACCGTAGCATAGCTTTCCCCATCTTTTGTTCGTTTTGCCTCCTGCTAACAACACATGTCTCTGCAGATAAATGTCGGGGAGGAGGAGAGAAGCTGAGAACCTCCAAGGCAGTGGTTCTGGTCCTGCTCTTGGTCCCGTGGTCCACTCAGGAAACTCCAGTGACTGGAGGCGTGGGACTGGGCGGAGGGGGGGGGGGGAAGGTTTCCCCGGGGATTCAGACGGGGGCCCCTATTATTTGAGGATGTTATCTAGGAGCTCCAGTAAAACGGGGTGACAGATCCTTCCCTCATGGGGTGGTTGGGAGATCCAGCGCCCAGAACTCTGGACCCGGCTCAGCAAAGAGAGCCTGCCCTCATGGGTTCTGGGTTCTGGTCTCCAGAGTGACCCGCCTTTTTTTTTTTTTTGGGAGGGGGATACATTTATACAGATATAGATATAAACATACAAGTCTCAATCTTTAACATCATGTTACTTTAATCTCTTATACAATGGCTTAATGGCTCCTGGGTGAAACACAACAATTTTCACACACTTTCCTGTAATAAACCAATTTTTAGTCACTGTCACTGTTCTCCCGTTGTTCATCGGTTTGCTCGAGCGGGCCCAGTAACGTCTCCATTGGAGACTTCGTCGTTACTGTGTCTGGCATATTGAATACGTCACGGGTAGCTTGCCAGGCTTTGCTGTGCAGGCGCGATACTCTCAGTAGCTTGCAGGGCTCTCCGAGAGGGGTGGAGGAATCGAACCTGGGTCGGCCGGGTCAGCCGCGTGCAAGGCAAACGCCGTATCCGCTGTGCTACCGCTCTAGCCCTTTCTAGTAGATTATTCGTAACAAACAATACAAAAGAAATTATTTTGATTCTGCTTGCGGGGCGGGGTTTGGGGTTTGGGATGGAAACATCCAAAATAAGGTGTGGCTTGCCTTTTGAGATCAAATATTTGCCAGCTTCTTCTCTGAGTTAGGGTGGGAGACGCCCCTCAGCCTTACTCCACCCCACCCCACCCCTCTGCCTCCATGACCCCTGTTGTGTCCTGGTGACAATGGAAAGCCCAGAGTGCTGGGATGGAGGGAGCTAGAGGAATACGACGGGACAGTTGAGTTCATTTCCTTTGGAGGGAGGGGT